TTTGTTTCATTTACATTGGAAACTAAGCATATTAAGCGTGTAAGTAATCAACTAATCTTTCGCAATGCGCATTCTTTTTTACCCACATCCTATAAGCAAAAAGCAGAGGAGTGTAATATACCTGGTGATCTAAACTTCTCGACCACTTTAGAGAAAGTCTGTACACCCTTTTTTTTGAACAGTGCATTACATTTTTAATGAATGATTCCCCTTGTGGAGGAAGTCTATGTAAAACTGAAAGCTCCTTGTTAATTAATTGGCAAGAGTGAAACTACATAGACTTAGTGCTATAAGCCTTTTAATTATGTCCAAATTAAAAGAGCTACTGTATATGCATGCTTGAATTATTGACTATTTGTGAACTAACATTCATTTAAAGGTGAGGACGTGTTAAATCTAGCAAATGAATATATGTTAAGTAGAGGATCATTCTTGCACGTGTTTATCTCTTGTGTGCCTTTAAAATTCAATTTTGACGTTATTTTTTTAATTCTTTACCTAAGAAGCGCCTAGTTGAAGTATTTTTGGTGTTGCGAGGTTTTCTCGTCTTCTTGAGTTCATACCCCATTTTTTTGTTAGTTAACAACTTTTGGATGTTCATTTACTGTGATACTTATTGCACATGCTTTTATCCCCTATTTAGGCGCGTACCTTGATCGTAACTAAACTCTGCTCGCCGGTATATTTTGGAATGAGTACTGAGCGGGGTGAAGGCACGCAGCCCTCAGGAATATCAGTGAACTTGGCAGCGGAAGAACATGTTGATGAAAAGGTGGATTCGCGTGTAAATAAAATTGCACCGCTGAATCAGGCAACTGGTACGCTTTGAATGTATAATAGCTTGCTCTCAGTGGATTTTAAAAACATTTCACTTGATAAGTCTTATTTTAATAGATTCTGACTTGTCGGACATCAACAAATCTGGAGTTGTTGCTGACTCTGCTAAGAAGGTAGTGATTGTTAATTCCAAAGTGTCTAACAGCGAAATTGATGAACGTGATTATCCGACAACGCCTACTAGCACTGCGGTGACAGGCACTAACGAGGCGGAGTCTCGGGTTAATGCCTCCACAACGACCGCAACAGTTTTACCGACTGCTCCTCTAGACGCGACGACAGCTGCGGCTCTCACCCTGAAAATGAAAGAGGAGCGCAAGAAGGAACGAGAAAAAAAGAAAGAAGAAGAGCTCTTGAAAAAGTACATAGCAGAACAAGAAGCTAAGCAAAAGGTAATTGGAATCTCAAAATGTGGTCGATGGCTTAAGAACAGCATTAAGGTAAGCGAGTTTGCGCCCAGTCTATGGTTTCATCTAGATAGGAGAAGGTGGATACAAGTTCGTTTATCGTGGATATGATCGAGAAGAGGCGCGAACAGTTGCGTGGTGTGAGTTTAAGCATGAGCACGTTGATACTAAAGAAAAACGTCAAATCATGTTTCGTGAGACAGAAATTATGTTGAAGATGAACCATCCCCACATTGTTCGGTGCTTTGATGTATTTCGTGAATGGACAAACGAGGAGACGGCGGAGAACCCGCTGGAGGAGAAGGGGCTTGTAATCATACAGGAGTTAATGTCTGAGGGCACTCTTAGACAGTGAGTGATTCTTTTCGTGTCTCTACTTTAGAGTCATCCGTAAAAACTATCTTGATGGGCAGTGCATCTTGAAGTTTCAACTTCTAACACACTGGTGGCATCAAATTGTTGACGCCTTGAGATATATGCATCATCGGCTGGAGACACCCATTATTCACCGAGACTTGAAATCAGACAACTGCTTTCTTTATGGTGACTCGGATGAGGAATATCTGAACGTGAAAGTCGGCGATTTTGGTCTTGCAACGCAAGTTGGTAGTAGTGGAAGAAAAACAATGCTGGGTTAGTGCCCAGTAACTCCGTTGTTCCTTCCGACGCTTTATTCCCGCTTTTTCTGTTACATGTTTTTCTGATGAAGTGCTTGGCAGCTTAATATGTATTCTTCTATGCTACTGCCACCCTGTATAGTCTGGAAATCGATCTGTCTTAATTGAAAATGTCTTCCTCCGGTCCGTATTGACATGCTTATTTTTTTGCTCAGACTTGTAACATACCGCATTTCTGTCAAAAAGAAAACTACTATGGCTGGGTATTATAACATCTATAGTGTTTATCAGCACCTGATATTGTTCCCATTATAATTTTTATCTCATGCTCCACATATTGTAATGCATGAAATTATCTCAAACCACGTTCGTTCTTTGACTTGCCTGTCTCTTCGATTCCCTAGCAAATGGAACATCAAGGTGGCTAAATTTTGTGAAGTATCAATTACATGTCCTTTGTGTAATCTGGTTATGCATTGACTGTTTACCCGTTTGAACCCTTAGGTACTGTCGGTTTCATGGCGCCGGAAATTTTCGATGAAATGTACGATGAAAAAGTAGATATTTATGCCTTTGGGATGCTAATGCTTGAGGTGATGACCAATCGGACACCCTACGATGAGTGTGCCACCCTCTTTGATGCCGCAGCCAAAACGATGTCTGGTCATGGGCCAGAGATTATGCAGCTAATTACCAATTCGAATCTCTCTGTCCTCATATCAGCCTGCATTCATCCTCTGGCTTGCTTCAGACCAACTGCCGAAGAGCTGTACTGTCATCCCTTGTTCCAGGTATACTACTTAGCACGACTTTAATAACTGTCAAGCAGATGTCACTTTGAGTAGTACCAAGGTGTTCCTTCATTCATTGTTCTGATGTATGTACATAATGTTAATGTCTTCGTTTAGGTCTAATGAATAGCCCTGTGTACAGGGCGTAGCGCGCATAGCTTAAGCAAGAACGATCCCATTGGCAGAATCTCCAGGAATTCAGGTCAAAAATGGTTCTGTAGTTTATGTGGGCTACCTTTTACTTCCCGATCATACTGCGCAGCTTAACCTTAGTAAAGAACTTGGTAAATAGGCGCCCATGTTTTGCTCAGCCATATGTTAGAGCTGCTCCATGCATATCGTAGTGTGCAAGCTCTGCGCCCTAGTGGATTTGTTCTCTAAGTCAATTCTTATTAATTATGTAACTAAGGCTTCATTTCAGTCGACGTTTTGCCAAAAAGGGCATTTATTCAAATTGCTCTTCAAGAAAGGTGGTAGGTTTTTTCAAATTTTGGCCCTATGAATTAATCTCCACTTGACAGGAAGTTGCTTGACTTCCCGATCTTTTCAGAAAATTTTTAGTCTACATGAATTAACAAATTTGCTAATTTCAAATTTTAAAGCTATCCTTCTCAACCATTCACTTCTACGTACTTATGTATAATTGCTCTCAAAAGTTCAGGAAATTAGCTTGCTTATTGTTGCAATAATCAAGGTATAGCTTTGCGCACCCGTCCATTGTGTTCACAATTTGGATTAAGAAATTTAATTTGAATGAAATGCATCTCCTCAAGCTTTTTTTTCCACATTTAAGTCGAGTTTCTGCAACTGCTTTTGGTAGAATGGTATTCACGTGATTTCGTTGTGTGCGACTGCGCTAAGAACCTTTATGCATCTTTTTAACCTCATCGAATTTCCCTTTACTGGTTTTAGAAGTGTTTGTGTGTTTCGGGGGATTTCATCTTTGAGCCCTACCACTGTTCAAATTTCTTTGCTGCCTAGTGTTGGAATGGCTAAATACTCTTAGCGAAATATGAAAATCGCATAGATAATAAAGTCAGATTTCATATGCTGGGGAACATTCCTTACTTTCTATCTTTATGCACGCTTAACTCAGATTCGTGATTGGGACTCATTAAGCTATGTAAATAATTCTTTTTGGTATAATGTTGATGTTACAAAAGAAATGAGAAAGCAAGGCACAAGTTTTTGGAGCACGCATTAATTTATCTACTCGGAAGGTTCAAGCTTTGAGAACATTTTGTTTAGTTACGATCAAAGCAATGTTAGGATTCGACATATAGTCCAAATCTTTTTGGTATTTGAGGGTTAATTTTTGGTGATCTTTTGCAGACGAACGTGGTCAAAACTGCAGCCAATTCGCTTCAGCCGAAAACGATACCTGTTGAGGTGGAGCCAAATTATGAAACTGGGGCGGATCGCAAGGAGGTTCTTGAGCGTTTTGTACGCTCCCTCGCGAATCCAGAAACTCGAAACCCCAGATTTAACCTACGTCTGCGGTTCCGTGACCGCAAAATGCTTCAAGAACTGGGCTTAGATGAGGGGGAGTCACTGGAATTCGATCTAGACATCTACAAAGCTGAGGATCAAGACATTCCTGACCTCATCACCAGCCTTGTGAGTGGTTAATATCGCATTTTGTAGACGGAGGCCTATCGGGCCATCGTAAAGAATGGTATAATACTGTTTGGTGAATTCACCACATGGAGTTTCTAAGGCGGAAGTGAGGATCTTATGTTTGCCAAATGGAGCGATTGAGTTGATCTACTAATGCGTGCCCCCTGACGTATGGTGCACGCGATGATTTGCTCTATCTTTAAAAATGGCTTTCTGTTTGCCCTCAGCGTCGCGACTACGAGGACAAGTTGTCCCGAGCGTTCGCCAATCCGAAGGTCCCTGACCGGAAAATAGTGTCGAATCATTTGGACCGGCTCTTCAACAGCATCCGAATGCAGATGCAGTTTTTAGTCAAGTGTCTCCTGGGAAAACGCTGGAAGGACATTTTGGACTCGCTTGCAACCAAAGAAAAGCCGCCCAAGGAGAAGACAGTGACGCAAGAGGGCCAAGAGGGCAAGGCCGAAGGTGCCGCGACCGGCTCCGAGGAAGAACCCGATAGTAACATTGGTATGCAAACTTTGTATTCTATTGCTCATTCTGACGAGTCGATTTCTCGTAGGTGGATCGGTAGATTCGCTATTAATGCATTTATGTATCACTATTTGCCTCACTCAGCTGGCTGCAGCAACTTTGAGATAATTGCAAAATGCAAGTCAAAGTGGTTGAAGGCAAAGCGTATGTTGGACCGTGAGGTTCAGGCCTACCGCAAGGCAGCTGCCCTCGCGGAGTCTGGTCGTGGCGCCCTCCAGATTGGTGGGTCGACACATAAACTGCAGCAGCAACAGCCACAACAGCAGCAGCAAACTCAACCACAACCCGGAAATCCACTGGTCCCTCCTCAACCAACCGGGCCTACTTGCACTCCATCCGCAGCTGGTCTCAGTGCTCCAGAGAGCGTGCCTCATGGCATCACTTCAACTCCTCCAAACCTTGTGGCAGAAGCGTCTGGCTGTGCAGAAGATGCCCCTATTGCTATTCAAGCTCCTTCCACGTCAAGCTTGTTTTTCTCAACCTCTCAGCAGGCAGGTCCTGATACTATTGGAACGTTGTTTAATTCATGAAACTACTATAAATGTCAGTGCCAGTCTAACCACTGTGTCGATTTTAAATTGTCTAAAATAGGCATCTGTACTAGTGTACCCTTAAAGCCTTATTTGACAGTTAAGTGGCTAAAAATGACAAGTTGCTTTAAATAAATTTCCTTACATTGATAACAGTATCTGTGAATAAATTCAAACAGATTGCCATTGTACTCAGTGGTTTGTGAGTCCGATGAAATGTCCATCTGATTTTAAGTCTTAAAAGTCCATCCTCTCGGGTCTTGGCATTCTGTAATCACGTGACAACCATTCCTCCAGTGTTTACATACATTGGTTTATTTCGCGAATAAACAGCTAATTGAGGTATGGAAGTAAGATATTATGTGACAAATCAAAAGATGCACACGCGATTCTCAGGCGGATGCAAGGCAAGTGACAAGCCTCATTGCGCTTGTGGTGAGGTTATTTTGGGAATGCAAACAATATCTGTATTTGCGGTTTACGTAGTGTTTGCAATTTGGCCTCCTATGAGTGTGAGGCTTTTTACGCGACTATTTAGTATCAGTAGAGCCTTAACATTGTCCAATGTGAGAATTTATCCGTCAAAATTCTTTTACCTTCTTTAAGGTAATTATCTCTAACTATCAACACTTTCTAATCTCACATGGATATTTTGCAGTCGTTTTTGTGGAGCTTAATTATTGTTCTGATTAATGATAATCTGTAATGGTACAGATAGAATTGTTTTTTTTATGGCAGCATTTAGTAGCGATCCTCGTGCAGTTATTGGCTTCCATTTAGGAACGAACTCTTCGATCACTTGCCATTAGTTGTCCGCATGTTGCACATCAAGAATTGTTTCTGGCAGACCTAATTTCAAACTGTTTTCAAGACGGTAGAGGTGTTAATTCGCATGCACATAGGATTCTACATTTACCGTAGCTCTAATCACGCTTCCCTCTTCATGGATTACATTAAATCATATTTTTGTCAATGCTCCATTCACCCGATGCGTGGTACTGTATATTTTTGTAAGTCGCATCTTTGTTTTGGCTGTAGCGAGTTTTAGGATCCTGCAATGAATTTTTTAACAATTTCCATCAAC